AATTCAATTGAAAGATCAAGATTGGTTAACAGTTCATAAATTAGTACGATCATCGGGCACTAATATCAATGATAATGAAGTTAAGCAAAAAGCATTGCCTATAATTAATGACACGATTAAAATAACTAATTATGAAACACGATGTGATCGAATTTGTGATAGTTTGAAGATGATCTTTCCAAAGCATCATGTTAGTGTATTTATTTATGGCAATGACTGGCAATGTGCATATCATAGTAAAGGCAAAGCTAGCTTTAAAAAAGATTATGGTTCGGATGTTTTTATTGTTTTAAGTTGAACAATTTAATCATGATCTCCTAACGTTATTCAATCGTTCTAATCGTGATAATATGAAAAAGTTTCATTTTCAATAAAACTTTAATTATATTTAGTGAGATTTTTCTGTTCTTTTCTTTCTCTTTAATTCTATTTGAAAAAATAATATGAAATATTAATCATAATCATTTTTATTTTACTTTGAACATTATTGAACGTATTATATATTTTCATTGATGAACTTATAAATGGAAAAATAGAAACAAAAAATACTCGATAGTAGTCCTATAATCGATTGTTTTTCAATTTTTGATTGATTCTATTTAATTGATTCTACTCGTATATCTCACGATATAATCTTACTAGCTCAAATAGATTTTTGTTGTTCTATAATATATAATTCGAAATCCTTTATTTTATAATATGCTTTAAATATCTAATATATGGTAATTAGATTTTTCAAAAAAATACATATATTAGATAAATTCTTCTGTCTAACTTATACTTGTATATTCGTTTCAAATACTGTTTATCGCATCAAACAAGATTCAAGTTTTTTTTGTTAAATACTATAAATTTTCATTCAAATATCTATAAAAAGGTGAAGACTGAAATCTGTCTTGATCAGATTATCTAATTTACAATTATTCTACAAAAATATAAAAAGAAAAAGCAATAAGCTATTTGTGCAGTGAGTTCTATGAGTACGAACAAAATAGACAGAGTTCGAATGTGTACCTCTATTCATCATTCGATTGAATAGTTTTTGGCGTGAAGAGAATAAAAGATATCGGCGTATAACTTCCTTGTTATGAAAATGATGATATTTTTTGAATATTCTAAGCCACAAATTTTGATATGTTGATATGAATTACAATGCTCTCAATAGATTAATATGAAAATTGTTGAATGTCTGATGGAAATAAATACATAGAGAGAGAATATTTTGATTGCATAAAACCACTAAAAAGAATTTAATTTCTTAGGCGAAAAATTTTTCAGCTGAAGCAAATTTTGCTTCACTCCTAAAAATCATTTTTATAAGTACTGACTTTTTATTATAAATTATGAATTATAAGATCAATACATCAAATTAAACTTCAGTTTCATCTGTTCGTATAACATGTTATCATATTGAAAACTCAGCGCTGAAATGTCACGTCGTGTGAAAAATAAGTATGTGTCAACTGCATTTATACTGCGAAGAAAAAACGAATGTCGACGAATTTATTAAATATTTACTTTTCGTCAAGTCTTTAGTGCGTTTATATTCTGCATATAAAACAAGCATACATCATAAGTATTTAGACTACAAAAATCATATAGCATCCGACAAGTTATCTCTTTTTCAATCATACCCAACTTGTCCATATTGCAATCGATGTTATTACAAACAGATATATAATCGATAGTTTCAAAGCAGTATAGCCCGATGATTTGTTTTATGTTTGTATAAGTATACACAGCGCTTGATGGAACTGTTTGGTTTTATGTTAAACAATTGTTACGTATTTAAATGCAAGATGATGATTACGCTTGGTAATGTACAAGTTAAATTTATGTTTGTGATCGACTATGAATAGCGCTGCTGTCAAAAAAAAGGCATTTTCTTTGAATTATGATACAAAAAGCATAAAAAAGATCATGAAAAGTGACAGGCTCGACTTTGTCACGGTTTTGAACGCCGTTTTGGGTGTGGTTCTTCTCTTCATTCGCACCCACACCCAAATCGACAATAATAAACAAACCCGTGATATTTCGCTATTAGTACTCATTGATTGAAGATGCATGATTTTTCGAAGTTGGGCGAATAATTTCTCGCTTTAAAAATTCCCTATATACCTACCATCTTGTTTAAAAAATAGAATTGAAAAAGAACAGATTGTTTAAAGTAGTAGTATATGTACTACAGTAGGTATGGTATACCAAATGATGTTGTATGATTGAGCTCTTTAACTGATGTGATGTGCATATATAGTACAGAGAACACTATGGAATTATAAGGATAGATGAATAATTTTTCGACCCACTGTACATGTTTCTCACAATATCATACCGACACAGGTCAATTGAAAATGGTAGGTTATGGCTCATTGGTCGTCAACGAAAGGTGCTTGACACTTGAAAACGAAATTGCCTATTATATTAATGTTATTTTTTTTCTCGCTGATGAAACCGACACTTCTTTTCGTTGAGTAAGGCAAAAGGCGCCGTCTATATTCTTGTAGAATGATTTATAATGAAGCAATCATGCGCTTGACAAGTTGTATTCGTCTCTTTCTTTCAGGTAACATAAATGTTTGCTAGGAAAAAAAAACACTATTAGGGACCCTTTTAGTTTTTCATTAGTAACAGTTTTGCATCTATAATTAAAGAAAAGAAAAAATGCATGCATCATCGGGAATAAGTGTATGTGAGCCTCTCGATCTTTTCACTATATATAAAACACAATAAACAATATACCGTCAATATTTGTTGTGCTTGTCAACCAACGTGCATACTAAATGGAGACGAAATGGAGTGACTTGCTGGGATAAACTTTAATTGAAGCTAATGCCCGTCGAGATAGCTACATTTATCGACACGCACCGATCAGTAAACTTGAAAATAAAGTTATTGCGATCTATTTTTCGTATGTAAATATTGAACTAAATTACAAATTAAAAAAATCACTTTTACAGGGCGTGAGGGTGTGGGTGAGTGTGGGTGTGGGGTGTGGATGTGGGTGTGGATGTTGTTCATAACAACATTAACACTGAACACCCACACCCACATAGTACCATAATACTCCATTTTTTCTTTATTATAAATATCAATACGTCCATAGTAGGTTTGATTGAAATATTTTGGTTGTGTTGAATAAAGAAGATAGAAATTGATTTTTTTTCGACAATCACGTAAGAACACATAATCATATTGTTCCGAAGAATGAATATTTGTATTTTCGTCAACAAACATGATAACAAAAGTGAATACCGTTCGCCATTAAACTGTTCGAAACTGTAATGTGAAACTAACTTGTTGATTTTGATATTCACATCGATATCCGAAATAGGCTGGCGGACATTAACAATAGTTTTCTGTTAAATTATTTACGTAGATAGGAATTCTACGTTAACAAATTCTACTTAGCCCATGATCTATCAATTTCGAATTATCGTTGATATTAGATTGATTAGAAGGAAAAATGTATGCAGTTGTTGTTGTTGTTGTGCTAGAATCGTCTTTGCTAGTAATTGTCTCAATAAGAGAATAGTGAAAATGATTTTTCAGTGTAAAATGAACAACCTTATATCTGTATAGACTCGAATGCAAATGTTATAGATAGGAGTTTTGATCATAATTGTATAATAGTTGAGAACTAGCGTCAGCATTTGTCCTATTTGATGAATTTGGGACCTCTGTACACCATGCGCTTTGGTCATCACTCGAGGAACAGTGTTTTTTGCTTTTATCACAAATATTAAGCATTGAAATGCACTGTGTTTCATTAAAGTAGCGATAACTTATACTCATCTTTGATCTCAAAGTTGCTTCACAACGATCGCGTTCGTCATAACCACCTATACAATCGATATGACCATCATTGATACGCAAGAACGGTAAACAAGTCAAATAGTGACTAAGTGGTAATATACATGGATTATGGGAACCATTAGCTTCATCGGCTCCATTGCGACAATTCCAAACATTATTACATCCCGTATATGCATTATTACAAGATCACTGTTCACAACCCATTTCATCTGTGTAGTTAAGACCATCAATTCTTTCATGGTCGACAAAACCATTACAGAGTAATATGAATGAGAGATAAAAACACCTTGTATTCACACCAACTACCTGCTTGCCCATATCTTCTCCATCGGCACACATCGATGATGCGCCATTAGTTATAGTCATAGGAATACACTTGTGTTTCGAAATGCATCGAAAACGATAGTCGACATCGGGTAAGAATTGATACATAAATAATATCATCAAATTGATGTAAGAAGTCATCACAAAGATGAGTCGAAACTAAGTTTTCAGGCAAGAGGACAATATCATTTTGTGTTTCTTTACAGTACAGTTCTTTAAAGTGAAAAAGAATGCATTTTTTCTGAAGTTTTAGACTTTGGCACTTTTATCACATTTTGCAAAATATTCGATATCAGATTTTCGAACGTATTAGATCTATAGCAAATTAATCATAGGTCAATCTTGCTGGCAGACATAAAGAGGCAAAGTAAGATTGAAGATATGTGAGACCGAGTTCAAGAGCGATCTCACAAACTTAGGTTTCATACAAACGGTCATTTAAAAAAAAATAACTCAATTTCAGATTCTAAAACATTCTATACCTTATCTGTAATCGAATCGAACAGTAATTTAATGAATTATGTGCAATTTATATTTGAATATTTTCGATATCTACTCATTATTTTAAGAGACCAACAAACGAAACTTTTAAAACAAAATTTTTGAAAGCGGGTAGTGCACGCAAAAGTTCCGCACTTCAAAATAAGCTTTTCTCAGTTTAGTGATCAGTAAAGTAACAAATGATGAATTTGGATATCATTATATATTATCAATAGATTAGTAATAAAATCAATTAGAAAGAAATATGGTCAAATGAATACTTGTGCAGTAGTTATGGTTTTAACACTTTCATGTAAGAATATTATCATTAATACGAGAATCCATTATTGGGTTCCATGAAGATCATCGAATGAGCGCAACATTTAATTTCTAGTGTTTCGATATTTAATTTCAGTTTCTCTTGTTATGCCATAATTATCCCATTCATTATCTTCTTCAAAAGATTTTCTGTATTTATGAGATGCTGATTTTGATCTCTGTGTTTTCTTTAATTCGCTCACAGCTATTAGACGTTTCTGTTCATCGATTCGTTGTAATCGAACGACTAAATAGATAAATATTACCCATAGACCTTCTAGTCCATTAAAAATAATAAAAAACCATCCTAAAACATTGGCGGCGTCTGGAGTAGCAATTGTCAAAAATGGACCAAGAAGCCAACCAATACCTTGAGTTGCACATGATAAAAGTAAAAAGAGTACACATTGTTTCATTCTGTCATATGAATGATGAGGTGATGTTGAATTTCGAATATGATTTAGTACATGATAAGCTACAAAAATAAATATAACTATATTGATTAAAAGAAATAGACAAACAGGTATCGTTAGAAAATAATAAATAACATCTCGAGTAAACCAACACAGTTTATATGGATATAGTTGAGTAATATGAAATAATGAATTAGAATTAAATCCAGCTGCAAAAGCTACCCATGTAATGGAAATCAAAAATGAAATGACAAGCATTATAAACAATCGTCGATATGATGGTTGAGGAAATAAATGAACAAATCGTAGATAATTAAAATATGCCACACTTGTTTTGACACAAAACATGAAAATTAAAAAGAAATAAACAAAAAACATCAATACACTTGAACTTAGAAAACATTGTTTTTCATCATCATATGTTTCTTTCGTATAAACTGTCATTGCTAGAGCAATGTAAAAAACAAACAGAATCATTGTTATTCCACATGAGATTAATGGTGGTAAATCATATGTTTGTAAGCTCATTTTTGAATCTCGAATTCGTATAAGAACAGCATGAATCATGATGGCTAAAAAGCAACAAATTGATATTGATTGAAATATAAGAGATGCAATGTCTTGTGCATTGAGATGACGTGTAATAGGTAGTTTTGGTAACCAAATAAGAGCAAAAGAAGTTAAATGATTACAACTGCATTCATATCGATCAAATGTTGGATTATGTCGAGGTTTTGTACAACCGGATTCATTCCATTTCGACTGAGTTGTATCATAAAATGAACAAAAGTAATCTGCTCTTATATTTGGTCGATATTCTTCTAAAACTTGAAAATAAAGAGAAATATTCATCGGCACAGATGCAGAACTATCTCTTCGGATTGACATGACAATAACTGACGATGCAAGAGTTTTATTCGTTGAATTAACTATATTTTCATATGTTGTAGGTTTATCGATAATGAGCATATTGAGAGATGTAGCACCATTTAAAGCTTCATTGCTGATAATAGCTGCTGCTGAGAAGTTTGACTGGGTCACATCGCCTACATTGGAAGCATTGACAACATGGCCACCAGTGCCACGTCGAAATGTAGCACCGAGAGTTGATACGTTTGGATATCCACTAAGCTGGTGGAACATAATAAATGACGTATTTCTGTTCACTATCAAAGTGACATTACTAGGGATACTGAGAAATTCATCGATCTCCTTAGGTCGTAAAACATAACTTGAATTCTGCGTTATATTCGAATTAATGATTGATTCAAAATATAAGGAGAGAGCATTGGCTATTATATTAGTGTCATTTGTTCTATTACGTAAAGTATTTACCGTAGAGATCTAAATGATAAACAAAATTAATTTGACTGGATTAAGTAATATTTCTATCAGACCTGAAGATCCAGTTTCGATACACAACTGCCATTCGACAGCGGTACATGACTTGACTCATTACAAACAGGAGGAGTTGTTGTACTGAGAGTAAACGAAGTTGTGGAACCAGTGCTTGCCATGCTGTCCGTAGTTATTGCAGGGACTGTCATTGCGGAAGTCATGTTTATGGTTGTGGAAATAGTAGTTTTAGTAAAGTCTGCCATTGTAGAAGCTGTTTCCATGGCTGCAGATGCAGTAGTGGTTGTAGAGTCTATAACTGTTGATGTTGTGTTCATGGTTATAGAATCAGTATTGGTTGTATAGCGTGTGATTGTTGAAGCAGTATCAATCGTTGCAGAAGCCGTATCTGTTGTATAGTCTGTGATTATCGAAACGGTATCCATCGTTGTGGAGGCAGTACCTATTGTAAAGTCTGTGATTGTCAAAGCAGTGTCCATGGTTGTAGAGGTAGTATTTGTTGTATAATCTGTGATTGTCGAAGCGGTGTCCATGGTTATAGAAGCAGTATTTATTGTATAGTCTGTGATCGTCGAAGCAGTGTCCATAGTTGCAGAAGGAGTAGTGATTGTGAATTCTATGATTGCCGAAGCTGTGTCCGTGGCTGAGAAAGCACTAGCTGCTGCAGAGTCTATAGTTGTCGTATCTACATCTATACTCGTAGAATCAGTGACGGTGTTGAAGGTTGTCGGTGTCGAAGCTGTGTCTGTTGTTGTAGAATCAATAGTAGCTGTAAAGTCTGTTGTTGCTGAAGTACTTTCCATTGTTGTAGTATCACCAGTTTCAGAATCATTTATTGTTGTGGAATCCGTTTTCATGGTCCAGGTGATCGCTGTCACGGTGACAGGCGACGATGAAGAAGTTTTCGTTTCAAGATAGGTAATCATGGTTGTTCCATTATTCGTTATTGTAGACTCAATGTTTAATATGACAGTAGACGTGATTGTACCATCATCATCTATTAAAGATGTGATAGTCGCAGTTGCATATGGTAGGATACTTTGATCGGTTGTCATACCTAAATATCTTGTTTATGCAAACGAATCTATGGACAGTTGAGATAGAGTGAATGCGAAATAGTAGTATTTGAAAATAGCTCTGGCGGAGGACGTTAAGTATAATAATTATGACAGAACATTGAAAATTTAACTCGGTAGGTTTAAAGAATATATAGTTTATCAAACATGTTTATTTTTTACAGGCAGATCGAGGTTCAAGAATGAAGTGAAAAAGTCTACCCGTACTACAATGGAAGTCATCAAAAGTCATATGCATTACATAAGCGAGAGTGATTTTACCGAGTTCGAAAAAATATGGACTTGAAACTGACAATAATTCATGTTCTTAGTCTAAAATCATGCTTTATCGCTACAAGAGACCTACACTCTAATTGAACTGGTTTTTATTCGGGTTAGTCACCCAGCAATATCTAGTCCTATTTATTTATGCATAGAAGTCAATGATCAATGGATCACTTGTTCATAGGCTAGAATCGGATGATGGCAATATAGAGTTGGTCGTTTTTGGCTTATCCTACTATCACTCAATTCTTAATATATGTTAAGTTCTCTGTTAGTTTTAATAAGCACTATATGATGGAACAATCAAATTCCTCAGTCAATGAATAAAAAGAATATTTCATAGAAAACCTTCTCATCAGCAGTAGGATAAAACTTTTCGATCATGTGACAAAGTTTCGTTTATGTTTATACCAACTTCATGCGACTTAAAACGAAAGAAAAAATAATATTAATAAAGAATATGTCGTCGAAAGTACGAATATGTATGTCTAAATGTGACTATAGTACACAACGATGCAACATTCACATCCAGATCACATTTCCTTTATTTAAGAAAAACTTAAAAAATGAGAACATTCTCACTTGTATTATCTTCAGATCGAGAAGCGATTATTTGTGTATCATCCTGTCGATTACTAATATTGTTTCCGATTTTTTCATGTATATATTGATTTTTTAGATTGTTGCCATGATTGTCGTTTACAAATTTAGTATAATCATATGAATATATGGTAATTGTGAAAATAAAAGCAATTATTAAATATGTAAAATAAAGCCTTGTATTAAATTGTATCATATTTAAATTTCTAAGAAGAAAAATCGTTGGTTTAGGTAAAAATGAGTTTATAACTGAAAAAATAGTTGTGTCTGATAAAATAAATTTGAAGTGTTTGGTTTTTTTTATCGATATCACGAAAAAGGTGACAACGAACGTTTATGATATTGCTTTTCTCTTGTATCATCAACAGCAAGACTTGTTCGTTTGTGTTTTGGTTAACTATCGAGTTTTCATTTACAAAGGCTAGGAAAGTAAGGAATTGAACAGGTATTAGAGTAATATCGTGTCTTAGTCGATAATCTGTCACACTTTTGCTTAGTCTCACATTAAAAAATATATTTAGACTAACAATCATTTTTTATCCTTATTTCATAGAAAATGTTTTAATGAAAATCATTTTGTTTTGATCGTTGTATTTTTTTTTTTTGTTTGACATGAAACCAAAACTTATCTTTTCAGGAGTATTGACCTTGAAATTATTCAATTTTCATTTTTTTTTGCTTTCTATTACAGCATCGCAAGACATTCCACAAACTTGAGTTATTAAGTTTTATCTTTTAAGGGTACTTCTTAACCGATAAAATGAAAAGGAAAAACGTTCTTTTTTCTTCTCTTCCACCAACTTGATCCAATATTCATGCCGATCTCTCTCAGATAAGACTGTATTTATATAGTGGCAGGTTGAAGATATTATATATTTTCTGCCAATGCATGTTGTGCCAAACAAAACAATTAAATAGAATAAAATGAAGTTACAGACATTTTTTTATAGTCATTGGTGGGCACTTTAAACGCCGTTGTAAGTTAACAGGATTAATTGACACAATCATTGTAATAATTAAAAAAGACGTGCATCAGTAGGATCAATATTGTATAAATATAGAGTCATTGCAGTATCCAATCTAAAATAAAATAGTTGTACTGGACGCGCCATGTCATAACGTCAGTTGAGTCACATACTTCAGTTTAAAAATACACGGAAATGAAATTGGTCAGCTGTACATGCCGTGGCTTCAGACTGTTGAGCCATAAGTACCGCTTAATCAACTCTACATGTTGAAAAAAAAACAAAATGGGCAATGGGTGGATATTAAAAAACTTTACTCAAATAAATACTAATGTTTTAATAAATAAAATAAAATAATATGAATAACTTTTCACTGAATGAGAGTACAAAATGAGAATGAATTTCAAGCAGAAAAGAGTACTATATTCAAAACAATAGAAAAATATAATTAAGAAAGAGATAAGACGAGCTTACATAAATTTTCTTTAATGTCTTGTTACCTTCACATTAAAGAATTATTTATAGGAACATACAAATGAATAAGTTTTATTCGAAAGAACAATATTTAAAGAAAATTTTCATTTTGATATTTTAATATCAGAAGTTCATATTGAATTTTATTCTATTGGTTGTATTACACAGAACAATTAAAACAAAAAAAGAATCATTAATAATATACAAGAATCAAAATATTTTGTAAAAATTAGCTTTTATGTTGAAGTAATTCACATAATGTATCGTATATATTACAAAAGTTTATATCCAATTGACAGATACATGCCAATTTTTTTAAATAATAATACTCACTATTGAAACTATAGAGATATTATTTATATCTACGAATAGCAACTTTATTGTACGACTAGAGTCTTATATGTCAAAGTTTAATATCTCAAGTTTTTCTTAATCAATTTTCATGATTTTCAGTTTTCGAAATATTATGCATATAATATTTGAAAAACTTATGTTTATTGCAAATCTATTGATAAAATAAGTTGTTTCGATTTGTTCTCTTGTCATTTGAACTTGCAATTTTGCTAAACTTATAGTAATTAGTCTATTGTTTTTGAGTATGAAACTGATTTGATTTTTTTGTCGCAATTTATATTATATTTGTTTCCTAATATGCAATATATAGTCATTGTTTGATTTATCTGTCACGCGAGACTAAAACTATAGTTCTGTTATTGAAAAATTCATATAATGATGTTCGGCGATGGTGTTGAATGTAAGACAATAAATTGGAAATAGAACCATTAAAAAAAGATGAGTAAATGTTGTTGTTTTTTGTTGATAAAAACTATAAAACAAAACTTGAAAATTTAATTATTATGGAGGATTTTTCATTTTCTCGAACTTATAACTCTTCTAAGGTGCCGTTGTTTCCAATGAAACTTTTACCATTTTATTCATTCATTGAAGTTAACTACCGTTAAAAAAATATCACCATCTGAATATTTGTAATTTATGCGAAAAAAAGTGCATAGAAGCAAAAAAAAAGAATTCTTATTCAAACATTTTTCATGAGTTTTGAATCATTTTGGTATATTGTAACCATACTTATAGTTCTATAGTCAAGAACATTGATTCTTTCTCTTCTCTCATATAATACAATCAAATATACTCACTAATCTTTATAAAATATTAGAAAAATTTTGCAATTCACTCATATTCACATGAAATTCATATATTGAGAAAAAGAATCTACTTTCATATTTTTCTGCTTAAAGTTTCGATAAAATTGCTCATACATAAAATTATAAGAATCAATACGATTATATTAATTAACAGAAATAAAGTAAATAACATGACACGTAGACTAAAGTTTATTAGAATGTATTTGACTAATTTTAAATAATCGATTGGAATTAAATTTAGCTGT